AGGATCCAACTGGAGGAGCTCCTGGCATGGAGTGGGTGGAGTCCAGAGACACTACTCAGAACCTGCAGGGCCCAGAACAGCTCCCCACAAGACACCCCCAACTCAGGATGCTAATACCACACCCAACCACATGGAGAGCCTGGAAAACTCAGGGGGCTCTGGCCTGGTCAATTAGTATTCTATCCCCAACTCCTGCCTGGCTTCCTGAGAATTCAGATCTACTGTCTGCCCTGCACAAATTATTTTGTTGGGTTAAAAAATGTTTTGTTTATTCTGATGAGGATGGCACTCGCCTTTAATTCCAGCACTCAGGAGGCAGAGGCAGGCGGATCTCTGAGTTTGAGGTCAGCCTGAGCTACAGAGTGAGTTCCAGGACAGCCAAGGCTGCACAGAGAAACCCTGTGGGAGGGGTTTGCAATGTGTATGCGTTGTGTGCACACAGTGTGCCTGTGCACACATGGAGGCCAGAGGAGCAGACTGGGTATGCTCTTCCATTTCTCTGTATGTGTTATTTCCTTGAGACAAGCTCTCTCGCAGAATCTGAAGCTCAGCTGGGGGTCAGCAGCATCTGCTGGCCATGCCCAACTTAGTACCAAGGCTCTTGAGATTCGAATTCATTATCATGCTGTGCAGCAAGCGATCTTACATGCTGAGTGTGTCCCAGCCCTTTGTTTTGGCTTTTCAGGCAGAGTCTCACTGTGTAGCTCGAGCTGGCCTGGAACTCACAATCCTCCTGCCTCAGCCTCCTGAGTGCTGAGATGACAGGCAGGTCGGTCCCACATACCTACTGTGTCCCTTAGCCCTGAGAGTGCCTTGTTGCCACATGCTGGGCAGACAGGAGATTCCTGCCTCTCACCTCTGCCCACTGCCCCAGGCCATAACACACACACACACCACACACACACACACAATCACACACACACACACAATCACACACACACATCACAAACACACACACACCACACACACACAATCACACACACACACACACATCACACACACACTCCACACACACACCACACACACCACACACACACACCACACCACACACCACACATACATGAACACACACACCACACACACACCACACACACCACACACACACACCACACCACACACCACACATACATGCACACACACACCACAAACACACACCACACACACACCACAAACACATCACACCACACACACATCACACACACACCATACACACACCACCCCCCCACACACACACATCACACACACACACACATTACACACACACACACATACACCACACACACACACTCTCCTCCAATCACGTAGCTCTTGGACCTGGTACAGGTTCTGAAGTTCAGCACAGGCTGACAATGGACAACAGGTATTTGTTGGACTGCGAAACGAATGTTCTCAGATCTGAGAGCAACAGGACAGGCAAAGCAAGGCTAGGCTGGGGGTGGGTCATGGAGCTGGCGTTAGTGGTTGTTAGGGGCCTCCAGAGCCCTGACTAACTGAAGCCGATCTGTGTGTTAGCTGCTGACCTGGCAATACAGAATTAAAGAAACCATGTCTCAGTGGCCCCAGCAAGAGGACACAACTCTGAGCTCAGGTGGCTTTGGAATGAAAAGGATCAGGGCAGAGAAACAGATAAATTCACACTCTCACCCTCAGAAAGAAAGGAAAAGCAACAACAAACAGCCCTAGTCTGGTTTACTAAGTCACCTATGACCAGGACAGAGTCACTTCCATGTCATACTTCACAACAAAAGACAGGAACAGTCCAGGTGACCACAAACAGATGGTGGATATGCAGCCTGATCCATCATCACGGGAGAATACCACACAGCTATGAACAAGAGCCAGGCTCAGATGAGCTCCCCTAGAGACATGGAGCTCAGTGAGCCTGGCACAGGTCACACCGTCCAGAGCAGGAGAAACCAAACACGGGGAGTGTGCCTGTGGGTGCCAGAGTGCCAGGGGTTGGGGAGGGCCAGGGCAATGGCGCAAGGGAGAAGACGTCATACTGGGATGAGAAGACAGTATCAGACTGTCATTCATGGATCATGGATGCTCAGGAAACCCTGAGTTATTATGCTTAAAATGGTGAATTTTAAAATATGCAAATCAGACCTGCATTTAAAATAGGAGATGCAATCAGATTATCCACTTCAGAGTCCTCGGGAAGAGATGCTGGGAACCATTTTAGAAGGCTCTGATGTCCCCCCCTCCCCAGCCCCCACCAGTTGGAGATGATAATGACGGGATGGGTCTCCCATGAGCCAGGGAGAAAGTGGCCTGTCCTCAGGGCAGGGGAGGCATCTCCCATTCTGTCACAAATGGCTTTTGCCTCTAGCCCCTAAGGGTGTAGGAGGGTGAAAGGACACAAGGGCAAAACCAGGTCTCAGCGCCTCAGTCCAGGGAAGCCCCAGATGCCACTAGAACTTGGAATTGCTGGGGTGGGCCATTAACAGACACAGGGTGGATGAACTGTCCACAGAAGGAATTGAGCAAACAGTGACCCTCGGGACCCCTCTGACAGCAAGGTCACACCAGCCAGAGAAGAACCAAGAAAATGGACTGGACTTTCAGCTTACCAACCTGGTTGTGGATCAAGTGGCTGTGGTAGCAATTCTTTCTAGAAAGTTCCAAGGTCTCCTCTGACCCCGACAGAGACAGTGTCTCACTGTGTAGTAGAGGCTGGCCTGGAACTCACAGAAATCGCCACCTGCTTCTGGGATCTTGTTTTGTTAACTAGGGACAGCATCCGGGGTCTGGTGCATGCTGGGCTGTATCCTCAACCTAGTGAACACTGTTCCAAACAGTCACTATTCCCTAAACACAAAGAGAAAACCTGGGACCACTCGGTGGGGCAGTTTTTTCTGCTACTGCTAGGTGTGCCAGAGAAAAACGACTCTGTACTTCATGCAAAGCTGAGTGGACCCACGGGTGTCAATCACCTGGGCTGTGGCCCCATACACCAGGACCCCACACTTGACAAAATGCACTGGACTCACCAAGATCCTTCAGAAAACAGAAGTGTGGGCAGACATCAATGACTGCAATGCAGGCTCAGTTAACCACACATTTAAAGTCTCACGGAACTTTGCATGATGGTCACTCCCTTAAGCCCAACGCTGAGGAGGCAGAGGGGATCTCTGTGAGTTCCAGGCCAGCCTGTGCTATATACATAGTGAGACCCTGTGTCAGAAGAGAAATAAAAAGGGAGGGAGCTATCCAAAGTCACCCTGCCCCTCAAGAGAGACAGGAGGGTCAGCAGTTCAAGGTCTCCCTCAACTATATCTGCAGCTGGAGGAAGCCTGGGCTAGCAAACACCTTGTCTCAAAAACAAAGCAAGCCACCTGTAAGAACCATGGAAAAGTGGTAGTGGCTGGCTGAGCATCGGATCATATGCCTGAATCCCAGCACTGGAGAGACTGAGACAAGGGGATAGACATGCTGGGATTCTAGGCAAGTGCTCTAGTCCTGGGTTCTATCATAATCCATATACTTCCAACCTGACAGTACAGATCACACGCGGTTTCCTAGCCTCTGTGCTGTGGCCTCCGACCCGTTCATTCTCTGTGGGACATTCTAGGCTCTGCAAAGCACTGTATAGAGTCGTAGACTTCCACCCACTGCTTACCAAGACCTCCCTAATTTGAGGCAGCCACACAGATCCCTAGGTATGACCCAGTGTTTCCTCAGAGCAGAGTCACACAGGCACCAGATTGCAAGCCAAGGTTTGCCTGTCCTGGAACTCACTATGCAGCCCAGGCTGGCCTCAAACCTACCATGCTTCTGCCTCAGCTTCTGAAGGACTGGGAGACCGTGCCTGCCAGAACCAGGGTGGTGATTCCCATTTGCACCCAGAGGTGGTATGGTGGGGTCCTTGTGATGCACCAGAATGGATCAGCACGTCACTCCCTGGCTACCCAGAGCTAGCTGCTACTGGGAGGGCAGTGAGGAACAGACTCCCAAAGCCACTGAGAGGACCACACCTGGCAGAGGATGCAAACGCGAGAGCTCGGTGCTAGGTTCCCTGGCTAGCACCTGGCAACAGTCTCAGGTTCTTAGACCCCCACAGCCTCAGTTCTGTCGCCAAGGCCACCCCCACCCCCAGAACCCCACACCTTAATATCATTGCCCCTAAAATTCCCACAGGAAGTTTCTAAACAGTAAGCCATTGGATCTTTATGCACCCCAGTATCTAAGCCTGTGTACCCCCCGCCAGAGAGGAAGACACATCCTTGTCCCATGTGTAACTAGACAGCAAACAGGAGTGGGGTGCCTTCTGACTGCACCCCACTCCTCCCTGACTGCTCCCCACTCCTCCCCACTGTTCCCCCCCCCTCCCCACTGCCCCCCCCGCCCCCCCGACTGCTCCCCCCTCCTCCCCGACTGCACCCCACTCCTCCCCGACTGCACCCCACTCCTCCCCAACTGCACCCCACTCCTTCCCGACTGCTCCCCACTCCTTCCCGACTGCTCCCCACTCCTTCTGACTGCACCCCACTCCTCCCCGACTGCTCCCCACTCCTCCCCACTCCTTCTGACTGCACCCCACTCCTTCTGACTGCACCCCACTCCTTCTGGCTGCACCCCACTCCTTCTGACTGCTCCCCACTCCTCCCCGACTGCTCCCCACTCCTCCCCACTCCTTCTGACTGTTCCCCACTCCTCCCCACTCCTTCTGACTGCTCCCCACTCCTCCCCACTCCTTCTGACTGCTCCCCACTCCTCTTTTACTGAACCTACCTCCTTTCTGATTGCACCCACCCCTCCTAACTGTACCCCACTCCCTCATGACTGCATCCACTCCCCTGACTGGACCCCACTCCTCTGTCACTGCCCCACACCTCCTATCTTACTGTACCCAATCATGTCTGACTTCACCCTACTCCTGGCAAAGTGCACCCCACTATGGCTGCACCCCACTTCTCCATAACTGCACCTCATTCCTCCCTGACTGCACCCCACTGCTCTCCTATGCACCCCGACTCTCCCCAGCACGCCCAGCTCACCTGCCTCCAGCTGGTGCCTCAGCCGCCGCTCACCCAAATGCACCGTGGGGCCTGCAGAGAGCTCTTCCACGGGGCGGGGCCTCTGTGACAAGGGCGGGGCCTCCGTAACACTTAGACCAATCAGAAGCCAGGAAGGCGGAGGCAGGAACTGGAGGCGGAGCCTTGTGCAGACAGCCTGGTAGGCTTAGCCTTGGGAAGAAGGGAGGGGATTCGGATGTGAGTGGGCGGGGCTCATCCAGGAGTGGCATCTCCACGAACCATTCGTGAGCTGGAGGGCGGGGTTACGCTGCATGCATGGTGCAATGGGTGGGGCCTTGCAGAGGAGGGGTTGTGTGACGTCAGGACTGTGTTTTGTTTTGAACTTATTTTATTGGTGTGTATTCACTGTGCAGTATAATGGGTTTCATTATGACGTTTTCATGCATGAGTATCACATATTGTGATAATATTCACACCCGCTGCCCATCATTTTAGCTACTTTTAGAAAAACGTCCGTGTGTGTTCTGAATCAAAGACGAGGAAATAAAAAAACCCAACACCCAGCAGGGGCCATTGAGAAAGCCCCGTGAGAGCCAGGAGCAGGAAGCACACCTGTGGTTTTCGAGGAACGAGCTCAGATCCTAAGCGGGAACCCAGGTTAGGGTGGAACTATTAATAAATTTTCTTTTGCTTGTTTGCTTATTTATCATTTCCGTATTCCCACATTTATCTCTATTTTTCTATTTCTCTATATATTAGTTGGGTTTTTTGGTTTTTGAAGTAGTGAGCCTGTTTATGCCCTCAGCTAAACTACCCAGGCTGGCCTTGAACTCACTCTACAGCTGAGGCTCACTTTGAACTTGTGTTCAAAGCACATGTGTGGGTCTGCATTCTCCAGGAGTTCCCCTGTGACTATGGAGGCATCTGGGATGTTCTTGCAGGTAGAGAATAAATGGTGGCCCCTCGGTGGGTGACCTCAGGCTCAGTCTGGACTGACACTGTGATCACCAGTTGCCTGCTGGGCTCTCTGGGCTCCTGCTATCTCCGAAGGAATGCTGCTGTCACACACACACAGACACACACACACAGACACACACACACACACACACACACACACACACACACACACACACACACACACACACACACGGTACCTTCCCATAGCTCTCATCCCTACCAGACAGACACCTCCATTCAGGCTGTCCCAAGACCTTACCCCTCAACAGGATCCACTGTGGAAACAGGACTCACCTGTTTGTGGTCCCCCGAGAATGTGAAGACTTGGGCTTAACTGCACCCATCTAGCATTCCAGCACATGGGAGAATGAGGCAGGAGTATTGCCCTAAGTTTGGGGTCAGATTGAGCTACATAGTGAGTTTGAAGCCACTGTGGGCTACATGAGACCCTGTTTCAAAAAATAGCTAATGCTGGCGAGTTGACTCAGGGGTTAAGAGCACTGGCTGCTCTTCAAGATTAACCCAAGTTCAATCCCCCCCACATGGCAGCTCACAACTGTCTGTAACTCCAGTTCCAGGGGATCCAACTCCCTCATGCAGACAGATGTGCAAAACACCAGTGCACATAAAGTAAAAATAGACAGACAGACAGACAGACGATAGATCCACTATGAGGACCAGTGAGATAGCTCTCCCAGAGAAGCCCATCCTACCAAGCCTGAGGACCTGGTTCAATCCCCAAGGCTTACAGGATGGAAGGCAAGAGCCCACAGTCAGAAGTTTTCCTATGACTTCCATACACACACTGGAGTGTGAGCACATGGTCATGCATGTGCACACACACATAAATTTTCTAAATGTAATTCAAAACAAGATGCACAAAAATTACACATTATTAGCAAGGGACTCGAAGTAGACCCAGAAGGCTGGACTATGCCCAGCTGCCACCAGAGGGAGCCCCAGAGCTACCTCCGTGGACACACCCACTTCCCCTATGGCCCTAACTTCTCACACTGCCCCAGACTGTTCCATTTCCATGATTTACTTTATTTTATTTTTATTTTTTCCAAAATTATATGTGTTTTATGTGTGTGGATGTTTTGCCTGTGGTGTGTGTGTGTGTTTATACCGTGCTGGAGAGGGCCCATAGAGGTCAGAAGAGGGCATTGGATCCCTTGACTGGGTGCTGGCGATGGAACCCCAATCCTCTAGAAAAGCAGACAGTGCTCTTAACTACCAGGTCATTTCTCCAGCCCCGTTTTGTTTTATTTTATTAACAGTGTCTCACTCTGTAGACCAGGCTATCTTCAAACTCACAGAGATCTACCAATCTGTCTACCTCCAAGTTCTGGAATTAAAGATGTGGTGGCCACCAAGCCAGCCCATTGCTATGAATCTTTAAAAACCATTTGCCCTGTGGCGGTGGCGCACGCCTTTAATCCCAGCTCTCTGGAGGCAGAGGCAGGCAGATCTCTGAGTTGAGACCAGCCTGGTCTACAGAGTTTCAGGACAGCCTCCAAAGCCACAGAGAAAACTTGTCTTGAAAAATAACAAAAAGCAACATTATACCTCTCAAAAAGTCAAAAGCAAAAAATTAGTCTCGGACCAGCACAACACCAAGGAGTCCCTTACAACTAAACTTGAGGACTTGAGTTTGAGTCACAGGACCCACATGTTGGAAGAACACAGACTCCTGTGAGCTGTCCTCTGACCACAACACATGCATGCATACACATGATAAATAAATGTTTAAACAAATCACCATGTATGCCATGATGATGGACACCTGTCCTCCTAGTGGTCAGGAAGCTGAGGCAGCAGGATTGCTGTGAGTTCTAGGCCAGTTGAGCAACTGAGTGAGACTTTCTTAAAACAAAGTTAACTATAGGTTTTTTGAGACAGGGTCTCATACATGACCCACAGGCCACCCTCGGGTTCACTGCATAGCTGGAGAGACTGGCCTGCTCTACCTCCAGCATGCCCGTGTGGGTGCACACACACGTGCATGCTAGTGTGCCTGTGTACACCACACCAGGCCTGCTTACGTAGGACTGGAGCTAGTACCCAGGGTGTCATGAATGACAGGACAGCAACCAACCTATTGAGGCACAGCCAAACTTGACATGTTATATGAAAGATAAACACATCCTTTTTATTCCAGTTCCATGCATGGAGTGTATGGCCTCATGCTGCCAGGGCGGGGCTCCATTCTGACCACGCCCCCAGCCCCTCACTGGGGGATTCTAGGCAGGGGCTCCATTCCCCACCCTTTTTTTTTGTTTTTGTTTTTTCTTTTCCTTTCTTTTTTTCGTGTGTGGGGGGTATTTCTTTGGTTCTGTGAGGTTTATATTTTTATTTTGGTTTCTTTGTATTGTTTGGGGCTTTGTCTATTTATGTATATGTGCTTTGTATATGTGCTTTTGTGAGTGTGAGCACACATGGCAGAGGCCCATGGAGGCTGTCAGTGTCTCCCTTGTTACTCTGTCTATTTCTTTGAGGCAGGGTCTCTCTCTGAACGTGGGGCTCATGGTTTCTGTCCTAGGCTAAAAGCAGAGTGATTCTTTTTTCTAGGCTCCCATGGCTGGTGCCACAGGAAACCTGACTTCATTCAGGGGTGCGTGGGGCCAGCCTTGGATTCTCTGCAAGAGCAGCCATCATTCTTGGCCCATGAAGCACCCCTCCAGCCCCTGCTGTTTTTGTCTTTGTTGATTTCTGGCATTGTGCCTCCCTGTGGCCTCCCAGGATTATGGGCAGGAGTAGCCACACTCACTTTCACAAGTTGGCTGAAGGTGTAGGCGCGCCTGGCCTGTGTATGCTGTATGCAGCTGTGCCTGGCATCCAGGTCAAGATCAAGTACACAGTGATATCTATTACACAGAGAATGAATTAGCTCTCCCAATCTGTCCTTTAAATGGCAGAGAGGAGGCTGGGAAAGGGAGGCTGCAGAGGGGCGAGTGGGGAGGGAAGGCTGGGGAGAAAGGAGAAGGGACTGGGCAGGAAAGGGGTAGAGGAGGTGGGCCAGAAGCTGAGCCACTGGGACCTGATCCAGAGAGACAGGCAAACCCAGCCCAGGCTGGGCGATGATGAGGACTCCAGACTGCTCCCACCGCCCCAGTATGCTTGTTTGTGACTTTGGGTGCCCCATCCATCCACCCCATGTTCTCCATGTCCACCCCCACTCTCGGCCCTCACCTGCGGCAGGCAGCTTGCAGCCCCACAGAAGCCATGCAGCACAGGGGAGGCAGGATCCACTGTTTATTGCAGGAAGACAAGGTCTACGGCGAACGGTATACAGACCCCACGCGGGGCAGGGCTCCCACATGCGGGGGGCAGGGGTGGGTCACAGCAAGCGAGGCCTGGCAGGGTCCCCAGCACCAGAGATGCCTGGGCAGGTTGGCCAGCAGCCAGGGTGGGTTCCCACCTCCCCTGCCACCCAACCTGGTTCTCCCCAGGGTGGGCAAGGCTGGCCTGGAGAGGCCTGGGCTGGCCCAGAGATTGTGCTATCAGGGTGTGTCCCTGAGAAAGGGCTGTGACCCCCTGTCCAGCCAGGAGCTGCTCCCAGGGCTAGGGAGCAGGTAGCAGCTGTGGGGGCCCTAGACTGGCTGGAGGTTGGGGCTCAGCTACGCTCAGACTCAGGCTTCAGGCTATGGTTCTTCCTGTGCTCAGAGCACAGAGGGACCACACTGAGGTCTGGACCACCTGGTCACCTGACTGCAGCCATCCCTCTGTTTTTGGCCCCCTGTCTCTGTCTCTCTCTCTATCTCTCTCTCTCTATCTCTGTCTCTCTCACACACATCCACACAACAGAGGATCCGGCTCTCTCCAACTACAGCCCGGTCTGCAGCCCCTGTGAGGTAATGGCCACGTGAGCTGAACCCTCAGTGCTGGCATCTCTGTCACTTGTTCTGCAGCACTAGCTGCCTGTTACAGTCTCAGCCACTAGTCAGCTTGCCACAGTCTGGAACAGGATCCAATGCTCCTTGGACAGGCTGAACAGACAGGTATACAGATAAATTGTCACCCACTTCCGAAAACACAGATCCACACAGACATACCACAATGTCTAGTTGTCCTCCACAGCTACACACAGTCCACTCTACCCAGCCACGAAATGTACTGTGCTCTCATTAAGGGCCCAGAACGGCGCAAGCACACCCATCCCATGACACACACACACCCGTTCGTTCACACACACAAAGTCACATGAACACAAGATTCTACAGTCACCCTCATGCGGGTGGGACACAGGCCCAGAAGCCACTCAAGTCTCCTGGACAGTCTCACAGATGTCACAGAGGCTCCGTGACTTGGGGCACACACGGGGGACAGTCTCTGGGTTACATATGATCAGTGAAAGGGCTTGGGTTCTTCCAGAGTCCTGGGGCAACAGGTACTGATCCCATCGCCCCCACACAAGGGCTTCACTGATGGACTCTCAGCTGGGCACCCAGTCCTCAGCACCCCAAACCCCCACTTGGGGTCACCATTGAGGTACAACTGTGCCAGGGTCTCTGTCTCTGTAGAAGGCCAGTGTCCAGGTGGGCAGCATCCAGGCTCAGGTCCCCATGTGCCTCCCCTGAGGACAGTCCTGGGCTTGTGCTGTGGGTGTCTGCTGCTCCAGGGGTGGTGCTTAGGGCTGGCAGGGCATTGCTCCAGGCCCTATGTTTATTGCCTGGTGGCCTGAGGCCCAGCCCACGGGCCCCTCCACCCTGGGATACAGAGAGGAGAGGACAGGGGTGCTCTGGACCCAGGAAAGGACTCAGGTCAGGGGTCATGGGGAAGGGACAGGACCAGGTGAAAGAGATGAGATGTGGGTGAAGGAGGTCACAGTGATAGAAATTGGCCTGGCTGGGAACACCCCGAGGAAAGGGACCGAGATGAAGAGGCAATACAGCCTTTCTGGTCCTTAGCCAGGTCCCTGTTTTCAGATGCACAGGGATCAAACCTCCAATGTGTGGGGTACAGATAGAATGGGGAGGGGTGGACAGAGAGATACAGAGGGAGCCGTCAGCAAGGGATGATAGCCATGAGGAGTGAAGGGACTGAGGGGGGGGAGCCCAACCCTACTGTGGGCTGGCAGGGTGGGAAGAGTAAGGAGATATGGAGGAAGAGGAGGGTGGGGAGGAGGGAAGGTAAGAAGAATGGAATGGGAAGAAAGGGAGGGGAGAAGGAGGGAAGAGGAGGAAACCGGAAGGGTAAGAGGGAGGGGAGGAGCAGGAGGAGGGAGGGGAGGAGGGAGAGGAGGAAGGAAGGGAGAGAGGGAGAGGCAGACATTAAGAGGGGAGAGGAGGGAGGAGAGCAGGAGCTCCGGGGGAGCTCACAGGAGCGCGCACGGCCCTGGCCTGCTCTGGCGGGCTCACATGAGCGCGCACTTGCCCTTGATGCGGTCCGCCCTCTTCTGCTTGCTGGAGCGCTTGCCGTCTACGCTGAGGCTGACGCTGCGGCGCGTCTCAAGCGTCAGCAGCTCCTGGAACAGCTCCTTCACGTTGTAGTTCATCTTGGCCGAGGTCTCCATGAAGGCGCACTTCCACTCCTGCGCCACGGCCTGGGCCTCGCGGGTGTGCACCTCCCGCTGCGTCTCGTCGCACTTGTTCCCCACCAGCATGATGGGGATGTCCTCCACGCTGCCCTTGATCTGCACGATCAGCTTGTAGATGGGGCTCAGCTCGTCCAGCGACTGCTTGCTGGTCACGGAAAACACCAGGATGAAGGCATGGCCCTTGGAAATGGACAGACGCTGCATGGCTGGGAACTGGTGGCTCCCCGTCGTGTCTGTGATCTGCAGTGTGCACACGCTCTTGTCACAGCTGATCACCTGCCGGTATGTGTCCTCTATGGTGGGGATGTAGGTGTCACGAAACGTTCCCTTCACAAAGCGGAGCACCAGCGAGCTCTTGCCCACACCGCCTGCGCCGAACACGACCACACGGTAGTCATTGCTCTGTTCTGGCATCTTCTCGAAGCCGGCTGGGCGCACAGGGCCGGCTGCTAGAACCCCAGACCGACCCTGTTGGAGAAGGGACAGTGAGACGTATAAGGCCGCCTGGGCTCAGGATAGCTCCCGGTCCCAGTGTCATCCCACCTGAGTGTCTCCGGGGTGGCCCGGCTTCCTGCTGCCCTGCTGGCTGACTCTGCAGTTGAGCTCTGCAGATGGAAGCCCCAAGTTCCCAAAGAGACCGTGCTGATGAGGCCAGCAGATAAGGATGCACAGATCAGCGCTCGGCCCAGGCTCTGGGCCCCACCTCAGGCCTCTCTCCACACCAGTGCAAGTACCCCACACTCTGAGCTCACCCACTTCCTGCCCCATCCATATGTGTGAGAGACCCTGTCTCAAAAAAAAACCCAAAAACCAAACAAACAAACAAACAAAAAACAACAAGGGGGGGCTGCTGGAGAGATAGTTCAGAGGTCAGAGCACCAGCTGCTTCTGCGGAGGACCCAGGTAAGGTTCCCAGCACCCACATGGTGGTTCACAACCGCCTGTGACTCCAGTTCTGGGGACCTGACACCCCCTTCTGGCCTCTGTGGGTACTGCATATACATGGTACAGTCCCGGGGCCCAATGCCCCCTTCTGGCCTGTGTGGGTACTGCACAGACGTGGTGCACAGGCACACGTATGCAGAAGGAAAAATAAAGTGAAAAGAATCCCTTTGGGAGCCGAGGTGGTGGCCACGCCTTTAATCCCAGCACTCCAGAGGCAGAGGCAGGCGGATCTCTGTGAGTGGGTTCCAGTTCAGCCTGGTCTCTAGAGTGAGTTCCAGGACAGGCTCCAAAGCTACACAGAGAAAAACCCGTCTCAAAACAAAACAAAACAAAACAAAAAAGTTATGAAAATCTGATGTGGTAATACACACCTGTAATACCAGAGCTGGAGAGGCTGAGGCAGGGGGATAACAAATTCTGGGCCACTGTGTGCTACAGACTGAGACTCTGTCAAAAAATACTAAGGTCATTGTGGTGGTGTGCCCCTTTAGACCTTGGTCTCCAGAGGCAGAAATAGCCAGATCTGTGAGTTTAAGGCCAGGCTAGGCTACATATTGAGTTCTAGGACAGCCAGGTCTACACAGAGAAATCCTGTCTTGAAAAAACAAAAACCAAGCTGGGCGTTGGTGGCGCACACCTTTAATCCCAGCACTAAGGAGGCAGAGGCAGGGGGGTCTCTGTGAGTTCGAGGCCAGCCTGGTCTCCAGAGCAAGTACCAGGATAGGCTCCAAAGCTACACAGAGAAACCCTGTCTCGAAAAAAAAAATGAAAAAAAAATCAGAAGTAAGCAAATCCAAAAAACTACCATCAACACCAACCAAAACCCCAAAAGCACATTGAGTTCTACACATTGAAGCATTGGCTTCAGGCCCTGGGGACTGGCCACATAAAACAGCTTCTCTGACACTGGGGACATCCAGGAATCAGATGCATAAATCCTGATGCTGAGTCCCTGGAAGAAGCTCCTGGGACACAGGGACTCACAGCCCGGGCTGAGTGGAGAAAGCCTCGGAGCTAAGTGGAGCTTCCCCTTGCCTAGGCCTGTGCCTTAGCTCCCAGCTCAGGCCACTGTATGTGTCTGGGGATTCCTTGGAGTTTCTCTCCTATCTTTGCTCAGAGATGCTCATGGCCTCAGAAGTCACACAGCATGGAGACTCCTCAAGCACTGGAGGTGGGGGAAGAGGTGTGTAGAGACCAGAGTGCGGGAGCCCTGTCGACATCATCGCTGTCCCTCATCGAGAGCCCTGCTTTCCCCCACAAATTATTTTCCTCAGTGTGTATGTACATGAGAGGAAGGTGTGGGAACAGCTCCAGACTCAGACCCAGGGTGAGTGACACCGAAATGTAACAGTGTCCTTGGGATTCAGTTTTCTCTTCTGTGAGATGGAGCCTACCCAGGCATAACCCATGGGGACAGGGGACCAGGAGTATAAGGTTAGGGGTCAGAATTAAAGGATAACACATCTGGAACTGGCCCTGGTGGCACACCCTGAAAATTTCTCAGAGCTGGAGGTGAACTGGAAGTGTACCCTGATTGTATACAGGGTACTTCTTGGCCTGGGGAGGAGCTGGGGAGGGACTGGCATAGGGCTTCCCCAAATCCAACTAACCACATTTCTCTTGGTGGGTAACATGGGCCGTGGACACCCTGTGACACCATCCCCACTGGCCTGAGGGGATTTAAGGAGGTAGGGTATGTACCCCTCAGTGCAGCCCCTTCCTGGTGGTGAGCACTGAAGGTTCCAGTGCCTGGTAGGAATATCAACCAGAGGGGTGCTAATGTCTGGGCACCCCGACTAGGAGGGTCCTACACAATCCAGGTCTCCCTCCTTTTGGGGGGGCTGCACTCATGGTGGGGAGAGCTTTGCTCAAGGTCATGCAGTATAGGAGTGTCACGTCTCAGAGGGACCTCAAGCTGGGCCCTACTCAGCTTCTGTGCCCTAGGAGCTCTCAGGTGCTCGGCCACCCTGTCTGAGTCACCCCAGCCCTGGGCCAGGCTGGCCAAAACCCCTAGTCCACAGGTCAGCACAGAGCTGGGCCCTGGGACCCTGAAGCCACCTCAGGTGCAAGAAACCTTGGTTAGGGGAGGGTCTGGGAGTGGGGACGCTGACTAATGGGGGTGGCTGACCTAGGGGCTGCAGACTGATGAAGGGGAGTGAGGGAGAACAGGCAGTTTTAGGGACTCAAGGGAGGGGGGCTCCCTGGGAGTCAGGAGGTGGCTAAGCACAGAGGGGTCCTGAGAGGGTGCAGGGCTCTGTGGGTGGCAGCGAGGGACTCGGGCCTGAGCGGGCATTTCGCAGAGGGCACGGATGAGGGGATAAGGCCCAAAGTGGTCCAGGATGATGCTCTCTGCATGGCTAGGCAGGGGTGGGGCGACCAGGAGCTGTCCGTGGTGGCCGCTGGATGCCCGGGGATGCGAGGAAGCCAGGAGGGTGGGGTCGGAACAAAGGGACCACGGTGGCCTGGGGACCCCTCCCCACCCTC